CTGCGTCAGCAGAGTACGACTGCCCAGACCACTCAGAACTTTAACAGAAATTACCAGTTATCTATGCTTAATGCCCGACTATCTGGTTCGCAACGCTGAGACAGCACCTTGAACTGACCTTGACATTCGAGGAAACCATGAACCAGTTTAGTATCTTAAAACATTCTTCAAAATTCTCTCTCAACTGACATGTCAGTGGTTTTCGCGTGGCCGCTGGCCTACCATGGAAACGATTCTAGATCAGTAACCCACTCATAATACATTTGACTCAATTAGTTAACACGTTACTGTTGATAGAGTTCAAATTTCAAATCATTTTTGTCAGCCCTTTTTTGAACAACGACAACTCTCAGACGAGGTATTCTCACGTTAAAAGACGATTGGGAATCCCAGGTGCCGGTCCGACTTTATGCCCGAAGCGATTCCTTCTGGATGTTAATGGCTGTTCTATTTATAACGAATAATAAGTTGGAATTTTCTAGCGCTCTTAATCCATTTCGAGTCAAAAAGCGCGTCTAAATAGTCTGAAACCCTGTGTTCTACGTCTAACACTTTTGGATCGGAAGAACTGCTGTGAACTCAAAGGACTGGAGTCGGTTGGACGCGACTTGTCCAATTCAATATCCATCTGTCTGAATAGACTGCACATGCCTCTATAACCGCATCAATGATGTTATTCCAGCTCATCTATGTGGGCAGAGCTGAGGTCTAGAACAAGAAAACCACCAGTGGAAACTGCTGGAAGTTTGGGTATCTGACTGCCACTCCAACAACAGACACATCGACATACCCCCTGCTATCACGCCTTTCGTTCGCCCGGCCAAGAGACGTGATCCAGTTCTCAGCTAAGGACGCACGCCTTCACGACGCCGTGCGGCGATGTGGACTCAGCCTTTTCCTAGACATCACGCTCCCCCTTCATTTTTACTTGAACAGAAAAATCGCTCAGTTGCCGTTGCACGCTCATAATCTCTGACTATGGCCTACTATACGAGACTGACAGCTCAGAAAAATAAATGCCTACTGTCCTAGTGATTGCGCGTTCATTTTCTTTGCAACAATAAACTGCGGCTCGCATCTTCCTTTCCATTAATGGGGTTTTCTTTCTGTGTGATCCAGAAAGGACTTCTTGCAATCGCGTCTATTTTAAGATCGGCTGCTGCAGTGCACCGCTATCAGACGTTTGCTTATTCCCAGTGGCTGTTGTACGACGCAACTCGAGCCCCAAAATGGCGCCTCAGGCCCGCGAAAAACAATTGTATTCGTTGATGAACGCTTACCGATCGC